ACAATTCTAAATACGATGGAAGACAGCCCGCGCATTACTTAGAGAATACCCATCTCCTTAGCCTCAACCCACTCTTTCGGATACAGTTTCTTCGAAGCCGCCGGGAACAGGGTCAAACGAGCGTAGCCGCCGCGCACCAACGGGTCCTCGATGCTCAGCAGCTTCACGACTTTGGGGTTCGGAGGAACGTGGTACTTGGCGGCGTCACCGTGTGCATACTTTGGCAGCGGCACCACGGGCTTCTCGAGACGAGTGGAGAACGCGTATGGGATGGTGAAGCTACACGAGAGTATGGTCAGCTAAGCGGGGACGCTAGGCAGGTAGGCTATACTGACCGGTCCGTATCGATCTTTAGGGTATTCACGCGATGCGTCGTCGCAACGAGCTTCCCGCCAGTCAGCTCCATCAGCCGCAGACCTGCAAGTGAACAACTTGTCAGATACTCGCACCGTTTGCATGCAGTGAGCTACGTACCGATGTTGCAGACGACACCGCCTTTGACCAGAGGGACGTCGATCCACTCCCCGGCGTGATTCTGAACTTGCAGCCCAGGACGTGACTGGATCAGGCAGTTGTACAACGTCGACGAATCCCGGTGCTCGTGCATGCCCTTGACGAATCCATTCTTAGCCGTCGCCCGCATCTCAGGCGTGAGCGGCAGGTAGTGCCAGATCACGCTCGTGAAGTCGACAGAATCCGTGTAGTGCGCGTTCAGGGCAGCCTCAGGGATGTCGAGAAGGGTGCAGATGTGCTTGTTGAGCTGGAGGTTGAGCGAGATGTAGCGTTCGAACAGCGTCTCCAAGGCTGATCGGAAGCCTGGCAAGTCTGCCTCCGCGGGCCATTGGTTGGGACCTAGAAGAAATCGGTCAGCTTGTTGGCCTGCGAATGCAAGATCTGCTATCGTTGAGCGTACCTTCTTGCAGCTTGCGGTAGAACGGAACTTCTTTGTCCCCTTGTGCTACCGGCTCTGGGAGCTCAGTTCCGAACCGATACCCTTCAGAGTGCGCCTAGAGAAGATTGCATGAGACTCTTGCATACCCACAGATGCGAGCAACCAACCTTGTGTTCTCCTGCAACATCATCACCGCGGAAGTAGCCCCGCAGAGCATTCGACTTGGCGGCCGAGATGGCGTCCTTCCATGCCTGCGGCTTGCTGTATAGCTGTTCAGCATATGCGAAGATCTTCTGTTGGAACTCGTCGTCGAATCCGGGGATGTTGACGAATGTGCCGAAGCCGACGTCCTCGAATGCGCTGCGAAGTTGCTCGTAGAATGCGGCGGGGTCGGACTCGGACAGGGCCCAGTCGACGGTGGGGATCTTGTCGAAGACGAGCTGGTCCCTTGAGACGAAGGACGGGGGAGGTGCGAGGACCTTGGACGCGCGTTCCATCGCCGCCCGCAGCTTGCCCGCGAACGACTCTACGTGCTCGTCTGACAGCATCGTGTAGTGCTCGCCCTCGACATCGATGAGCTCGACGCCGTTGCTGCCGAAGAGCTTCCAGACCGAGAGACGGTCTTCCTTGAACTGCTCGCGCGTGCCCATAGTCGGAAGCGGGATGGCACAGAAGACGGTCATCAGTGCACCGCGGATCGCGCCCTGCGGGTCATAAGAGCGGCCAGCCAGGGTGAGCGAGTATGCGACTTGGATCCAGCGGCGCAGCTCGTCAGCCCGGATCTGCAGCTGCTGCAGGCGCTGCTGGTCGGAATGCTCGAGGAGCCATTGGATGACCTCACCAGAGGCGGCCGGCTCCACGTCCGTTACAGCGACGTCGGGGAACGTGGTGAGCACCTGGCACTTGACGGTCTCGAAGTCGTTCGCCGAGATGAGGGCGAGGAACATGAACAGGTTGAGCAGGACCTCGGTCCAAGACAGCTCGTGCATGCGGAACTGGATGTGCGGCGGCAGGTTGAAGATGCCGACCCAAGCGACGTGCTTGCCCATGGCCTCGAGCTTCTTCCCGATCTCGAAGGCGACGGCACCGCCGAAGCTGTAGCCGCCGAGGTAGTACGGGCCCTCAGCCTGGCGTGACTGGATCGCTGCGACGTAGGTGTCGACCATCTCGTCGAAGGAACTGAAGCATTCTTCACCAGTGTCGAAGCCGCGGGCGCGCAGCGCGTAGACGGGGCGGTCGTCGCTGAGGACGCGCGCCAAGTTCATGAAGACGAGGACTTCGCCAACACCGGGGTGGACGAGGAAAACGGGCGGCTTCGAGCCGTGGGCGTTCAAACAGACGAGCGGGTTGTAGCTTGGCGTGACCTCTGCTCCGTTCGCGGAACTCTTGGCCTTTGTCACCTCTCCGAGGAAGTCGCACAGCTCGCCGAGTTCGGGGTGACGAAGCATGTCGATCATGGCAATGTCCTTGATGTGAAGCCGCTGCTCAAGCAGGTACTTCAGACGCACGAGGTGCATCGACGACACACCCATGTCGAAAAGGCTGGTGAAGCGGCTCAGGCGCGAGACGTCGATGTCCAAAAGTTCGGAGACGGCCTTGAAGATGACTTCCTCGACAGCGTTCAGCGGGCCAGACGACAGCATGCTGTCAGCAGCAGCCCGGAGGCGCTGCTCTAGCGCGGCGTGGTCCCCCTTCAGATAGGTAGCCATCAGGGCAGAGCGGGAGACCTTTCCGATAGCGGTCTTTGTGAACGACTTGCGGGGAAGGGGAAGGACGACGTGGGGGCCCTGAGAGCAGAAGACGATGCACCGCTTCCGGATAGCCCGGTTCGCCTCGCAAAGGGTGGCGACATCTTCCTCGTTCAGCTCGTCTTCAACTCGGATCCGGTGCTGGTAGAAGACTGCGTAGGTGTCGGTGTCGCCGCCGGGCAGGCGCATAGGGCAAACGAAGACGTGGGAACGCGAGACGCCGTCGATGTCGCTCTCCTCGATAGAGTTCTCGACATCGGCGCTGGGGTGCTTGACACCGTTGATGTTGATCTGGTCCTTGTCGCGTCCGACGAGGTGCAGGTTGCCGTCCCCATCGAGCATCGCGCTGTCCCCGGTCGTGAACCAGCCATCGGCAGAGAACGACTCGGCCGTCGCCTGGGGGTTGTTGTAGTACTCGCGGAAGACACTCGGGCCCTTTAGCTGAAGCTGTCCAGGCGCGAATGCGGCGCAAACCTCGCCAGTACTGCGCGAGGCGACGCGGAGCGTTACGCCCGGGCAGCATTCTCCAAGAGAAAGGTACTTCTCGGCACTGTCTCCAGCGCTGCGGACAATGTCGCGGGTGTCGTAGATGCATCCAGCCTAGCGACCATACGATAAGTCTGCGAACGAGGCCAAGAAGTGACGAGAACTTACTCCGGTCTCGCTCATGCCGAACCCAGCACGGAGGGCGTTGCGAGGCGCACCGTAGCGCTCGAGGAGATCTGCAAACTCGACCGCGGTCTTGACCGGGACAGACTCGCCACCGGAGATGAGCGCGACGAGCGAGGAGAGGTCGATCTCGTGAGCACCGTACTGCGCCGCCGCGACGTCGCGGCAGAGCTGGGCGATGAGGAAGTTGGGGCTGAACGAGTACGTGATGCGCAGACGGCTGCACCATTCGAGCAGGTTCTGCGGGCGCTGGACAATGGCCGATGGGGTGACATGGTATTGGCTGGAGCGACACAACATGATCAGTACGTACGGATCGACGGGCGTCTGTGAGAAAAAGCTTACCTGGCACCGGCCGCAAGTGCGTGGAGATGGACCTCGGACACGCTGGCGACGTGGTCGAAGGCGATCCAGTTCAGGAATTGCGACCGAGACGTCGTCCCGTGGTGCTCGATCTTGCCGCGGACGCTGGACAAAAGGTTCGCGTGGCGGAGAGCGACGGCCTTTGAGTTGCCCGTCGACCCGGAGGTCAACATCAGGCAAACGATGTCGTCTGGCGAGACGGGGCGAGACGGGTAGACCGACGCGAGGGTGTCAGCGTCAATGTCGAGGCGCTCAATGTCCGCTAACGACAGGGCTCGGAGGTCAGGAGCGACGCCGTGGATGTCAGCGATAGTCTGCTTGTTGGCGATAAGGGTGGGGCGGCGGAAGACGCTGGACAAGTGGTTGAGGAAGACAGCTTGCCGGGAGCGATCAGGGTGAAGGGGCGGGAGCGGACAAACAGGTATCCCGGCTGGAGAATGTTGTGATCAGTCGTGCCGTATAGACGATGCAACGAGTGCTACTTGCCGAAAGCGCAGGCCCAAAACAGGCGGACGTGACTTTCCTGATCTTCGAAGCTCACGATAACGATATCCGTATCAGGTCGCAGGCCATACGCCACGAGCAGCTGTGATGTTTTCACTGCATCATGGTACAAGTCTGCGTAAGAGAGTCTCTTCTGCACGGAGCCTTCAGCATCGAGGAAGGTGATGTGCGCAGATGTTGATTCTTGGGCACGGCTGAGGAGGAGCTCAGGAAGGGTGGTTGAGATTGCGTCGCTCATGCTGTTGTGAGGTTGAATTCGCAGCAGATGAAAGTGCGGCAGCCTACTGACGACATTATATATGCTTCTCGTGCCTCCGACTTGGTGCGCACCTTCAAGAAGACTGTGCTGACATGTTGGTGCCTGCATGTTTCAGCAGAATCATGTTGCAAATTACAAACTTTCACGGCGGCGGCGGCAGGCGTCTTACTACCAAAGTTGAGCGGTGACCATGGCGGCGGCCGGATTTGACGATAGAATTGAATGGTATGGAAATCGTCGATATACCATTAGTATTACTTGCAGGCGTGCCTCCGCGGTAGTCCTGTGATGGAGAGGTACAGCCCAGCGGCGCCGATGAGCAAGGCCGAGATGGGGAATCTCAATTCAGGGTCTCTATTGCTTCCATGCGCGACTCCGCACCTTGGGGAAGTAATGACAGGCCCTGCCTTGTACTAGCGCGCCGACGGTACGTGCGACTCGACTGAACCCGAGTTCAACCACAAGATAATCATTGTGTGCGGGATTCCTTCGGCTCTGCGATTTTTCCGGTGGAGCGTCAGGTTGCAATCACGCAAACCTGCGACCTACCAATCAAACTAGCTGGGTGAACCGGAATCGTGGTCCATTCCCACGATAAACACGGCGATAGCAAGTTGTGAGCTTGAACTGCAACGACACCGGATGCGACTCGCTGCAAGTGCGTGTTCTGCGTCGGAATCCCACGTATTGTACATGCGCGCGAAGGGGGAAACGATCTGCGTGATGCAAAACAATTAACACAGATCGCTTATCTTCTCGAAAATACACGTCAGTTCATACCTGTGAACGCATCTTGCGGAGCGAGCTGGCACGTCGCCTACGAGCGTCGTTCAAGCGCCAGAAGATGGGGGACTTGCCAATCTAGGAAGGCGCGCCTACCCTGAAGCCCAGGCGAGGCGCCGCAGAGTGTTCTGGCCTGCTCTGGCTGCAGAAAGCAGATCATGGTCATTGCAAAGAGCGGAACGCGTACGGAGTAGAAAACACATAAAATATCAATAAACATTCAACTCCGCGTATAGAAGACTTCTGAGCGTCCTCCAGGAAACAGCGGAAACGTGAGCTGACGCAGAGCCCTTGCAAAAACGTGCAATATTGCGGGATTGATTAAAGAGAATAATTTCAGCACAAATCCGTCTGGTCATCGGGGTGCGCCGTGGGCGGGTGAACCACGCACCGCGGGCGTCGTTTGGCAGATAGACAAGGTGCTGCGACCTTGCGAACCATCAAGGGTGTCGGAGGACATATTACCTTAACCTCGGGCCGAAAGGGGCTGCGTGCCAGATGTGGAGCAGAATAATGACGGCCTGTGTAGGGAGCAACCACGAAAAGGTAACCATCAGCCCGAGTCTTCAAGTTGATGTGCCCCTCCATAACTACTGCCTCTTTCTTGCGCCAGGTATCATTCAAGCAAGCGATTTCGTGCTGCTTAGTGCGTAGGAGCTCGGCCTCTTCGTCAGACAGGTTTGTCAAAGTAGATAGACTGCATCACGGGCATAAGAGGTCGCCTGACGTAGAGGCGTAACACGTACGATCATCCCTGCTTAACGGTCACGGTCTGCTTGGTAGAGCCGACGAGGGGTCGCATGCCCGAGAGGAGGTGGGCGGAAGCCAGCGCAGGCTGGTTACAGCCGACACGGCAGGGTGGAACTCCGATACGATCTTGCCGACTTCGTGGCGCCGGCATCCCGGATCCTGATCCGCCCAAATTTCCGACTCGCTTGCCCTCGCTCACTCACCCTGCGGCCACTCCAGCTCCGAAGCCAAGAGGCAACGTACCCGCTTAGCAAAGATCAGCGGGAGCTGCAATTAATTTGACCGCGCCCCCCCCAGATGCGCTGTCGCAAGTGCGGTGGGCGCAAACGTTTGAACACGAAGATGCCAGCCACCTAATATATCTCTGTCTTCAGGTGATGAACAGACTGCGGCGTTTCAGATGGTTATTCGACCTGAAATGGCCTAGGGCGCAGACGGCGGGATTCTCGCGCCCCCGCTCGGCCAGCGGCACTGCTCATGAGCGCATGAGCGGCGACTACAGGCACAGCTTCGAATTGGATATCGCTCTGTGCCTTACAGAGGACGAAAGCGCCAGCGAACACACGATAAGACAGTGAACGTGTTGCCAAGGGCCTGTCGTTCAAGCTGTACGCGCGAGTCGCAGCCGCTGAAGAGTGACCGGACCAGAAGAAGCACCATGTCAAGGCATGTGGAGCATTGCAGAGGTGTAAAAATTTCCCAGCCTAGCTCGACTCTGAGCATGTATGCGAGGAACCGTTCAACTCTAACAACAAAGTTAACATACAACGGTCAATTCAAGCCGCAACGCGATAGCATGACTGGACGAGTAGGTAACGGACGAAATGAATCGCATGGAGTGACGTAAAGGTCGTGAGAGAAATTATTGGCGCACTAGGAAGATAGCTGTCTTCTTTTCCCTGGCTGCATTCCTGGACTTGGCGCTGTAGTCTGCAGCGGTCAAGAAGCAATCGCTGTGATGCTTGTGCATGTGACGACGCACGGTCCTTCTCGTTCGCAGGGCCTTTGATAATGTTCGCAGCGGGATATCCAAATCTAGTATTGTGTTCGGCCTACAGGGTCACAGGCGCCAACATACCTTTAGCGGATCGCCGATCATCTGAAAGGCACTACTCCCTCCCGGCGGCACTGCATTTCTTGAGATAGGATTGGATGATGTTTCAACGAGCTGGAACCTGTCGAAAATGGGCCGCAGCTTGCCGAAATGAGTGCCGCTCCGGTTGTGTCGGAATGCCGGAAACATGTCTATTGAGGGCCTGATTTCATCGTTCGAATTGAAAATAACAGATGTGGAGATGTACTAATGCAGGTCCCGAAGCTTTGAGCACGGCCTCGGACATCAGTGCGTCAGGAATCAATATGCTTCTGGATCAACAGCTTTCGTCGGGTCCTGTGGGAAAAAAACTTCCTGCACGAGCGCTGCCGCGATCGGAGGTCCTTATCTCTGATCAGTGTCTTTATTGAATCCATGAGCCTTCTGCCAAATATTTCACCACTGACATAAGCCGGACCTGGCTACGACGGCTTCTTCTTCAAATCGGGTAAACACGGCTTTTGCGGCAGGAACTGACTGCAACTGATTCCCACTCCGAGTTTTGCCGTGATCCTGGCAGCTGGGTTCTGACAGCCGATATTGAGCCGATAATAATCGGAGTCCACTTACACTTGGCGCGAGAAATACACGGAAGAGGTGGAGGAACTCTATCAGGCGGCTGGATGACGGGGCACTGTCACCGGTACAGCACCACTTTCACATTTGATATTTGGCAAACATTCGACCATTGGAGGAAGATTCCAAGCGGCCAAGCCTTCAACCGCTCACTTTGGGTGGATGTGGGCGGCAGGGTATTGGGGTGCTGGAGATAGCTCTAACTGAGCCATACCATTCCGTTCTTAGTCTGACGTTTGACAACTTCAAACTTTGGGGAAACTCAGCTCTCCGAAGCTCAGGTACACAACTTTCATCTGCGGAGATTATCGCAAGTCGTCGAAGCGAAATGTATCTCGGCTCACAAATCTCCGATGCGATCTGCACAGCCGAACATATGACCAAGTGGTGGCGACTCGGGTGATAAAACGTTCGCGCCGCAGTGCTTCCTTCATCGCCTGGTTGTTCCGACTCGGGCACAGCACAAGGATTGGCGGCGGCATTCTCAAGCTGTCTCCTTGTGAAATGCTCCCTTATGAGCAAAGCGCAATTTACTGTATTAACGACCGGCGTACAGGTGCTGTCAGTAGCATCATTGATCAAACGGCGGAGTAGTGCAGACGGAGCTGAAGGTGGGCTCTTTGCTTGCATAAACTAGGTTCAGGGCTTGTATCCCTGCAAGCCTGTGTTGTGTGGGATTCTATTATTGAAGCTGTACCGGCTGTCGAGCAGCCTATTACGTTGGGGCTGCATGGCCGTGATCTGCATGTCGCGACCACTACAGTCACCTGTTCTTTTGAAACGCTGAACTTGTCTGCGAAGTTTTGAACATACATCATGTAAGATGTCGTCATTCCTGAAGCTTATACAACGAGAAATTGTGCAAATAACCGAGCGTGAGTTACGGCAGCCGCATTTGACGGTAAGAGGTGCATGGGGTCCTTCACAATCGGCGCTCGTCTCCATTAGCGCTAGAGTTGAGTTGCGGGCGAACGCCCGAGCTCTTATCGGCACTGCAAGCATCCGCACAACCAAGGTAAGTGATCAGATACCGTGTTCGTAAGTTTATGTTATAACCAATTACGCAGAACTTAAGAGCGTCCATCGTACCGTCCCGCTATTCCGTTCAGCCTGCCGTCACGGTCATCCAGCGCCCCCGCGGTCTTCTCGGGCGGTGCGGGTGCTTCCTTCGTCGTCAGTCCAAATCTTGTTATGTCTCAGCTTTGTCGTGACATGACAGCCTTATCGCATGCACCCTGTGCTCTGGACCTCGCTGCGCCTCTGGCGTTCGTTTCGGGTGCAGAAACTGCACCAAGCTTGAAGCCTGCCGTCGGCGCGGGATCTTCGCTTTTCTTGCAGGAACTTACAGCCTATGTCTGGCACAAGGGAGGCCAACGTGAGTCTTTTGTGCGCTCAGGGTGCGTTGACTCGCGTCTTGGTCGAAAAGCAGTGGTTACGTTTGCAGCATTCGCCCTGCCGTACGAGATGAGCGCGCGTGGGCGTAAGAACACCTGTTCCTGGGCCAATGACGCTCGGGCGCGCTCTGCCCGTCGTTTCACTCCATGCTGGGAACGTATGAGTCTCGTCCGTTTGTTGGCTGTAGCCGATTTGCCGTCAGGGACAGCGCAGTGCTCGACAGGAACCCTATACATCGTCGAGTGCGACATTGAGCATCCACGGTGTCGAGTACCCGAGCGTCGACGCCGAGCACTTTGTTGATGACAGCGACATCGGGGACATTGCGCGCTCTGTTGTCTTCGCGTGCCTGATATGCCTGCCTGGCAGCGACGCATATGCATGTGCTGTCTTCTGCCAGCACCGGATCGGCGTCGAAGGCAGGCTGAGTGGGGAGGACATCGTTGCTTTGTGCGCGACGACTCAGAGCCGCGCGATCCGGATTCATCATATCGTATCCTGCTTTCAGGGCCCCACGTCATCCTTCCCTTGCCTCGCGAGTCATTCTCGAAGGCGGCTCTCAGGAAAGTCTTGCGCTCTGCTCTGACGGCAACCATGTCGCGCCGGGGCAACGGCTTCGAACTGCTGCCGACCACCTGCTGTCATCTATCCCGCTGAACGCTGTAGAGCAAAGCGTCGTTATGTCGACGAAGAGACTCCGTTCTGCCGCAAGCTGCAAGAAGGTGTGCTCTACGATTGCAGACTGTATGCCCATGAGCTGATTGCGTTCCTCTATATCTCACGCCACTAGTGGTCGACGGAGGCTGACCCACCGAACTTCCTAAAAGCCATCGAAACGCTCTTTGAATACTACATCTCGCTCAGCCTCCATCTCAACAAACGCATCTGCCCTTGCTCGACTTCTTCGAAGTGATTACGTACAAGTACTTTACTGGCTACACCGAATTCACGAGCGGGCTTTGGCGTTACCTACTGCTTCCGGCCGAGACGCGTACGACCGCCAACGATCATCTTTTTCGAGGGGAGACCTGTCGACGCCGCACAACTGCCTGATTTACTCGCTTCTAGGCCTGCGGGCTGCGAATCATTCTGGGGAATGGATCGTTCTACCTATGATCATGGGCTGAGTGGTCCGCAACGTTGGTACGTGCTGTGCTGCTTTGTAGAAAGCGAGGGTAGCTGACGAATTATGTATATATCGGCAGATATGCAGTTGGAATTTCCCAGTGTGAATTCCGTGACGGCGCATCGCGTAAGGTCGGCAGAGGCCGGTCGGTATACTCCGCTCTCTTCGCGTACCATTTTATTTGACCCGTGCATAAGTACATCATCCAGTACGTCTTCTTCATTCGCCTCCAGAAGCCTGTGTCGTCACCGCCGAAGTAGTACTCCCAGGGCGACACCTATCAAGGATCACGCACTGCCCAATCCCAAGATTCTGAAGCTCATGAGCCCCACAGCTCCATTGCGCGCGAGGTCATGCCAGGCTGACGCTATTCCTATACGAGACGAAGATGCTGTGCCAGAGGCACTGCGAGTTCAAGCTCAGGCAATGAGCGTCCTTTATATAGCGAGCCGTTTTTATAGCCCTCATGTTTAGACCTAATCGTTGTGTCACTGTTTTCTGTATTTATACCTCGGTATATCTCTCCTACAGTGTGCTATCTAGTGAATCATGCGCACAGTATGGGTTGTTTTGAACCATCTTTGTTATCTGCCCTGTCTGTATAAGCTGCGAAATTTCAAAGAGCCGTCAACATAATTCCGAGGCACGGTCATCAAATACTGAATCAGATCATCTGCAGATCTAGTGATGCGAGCTAGACGAGCCCGTCGAGGCTGGGCGTAGATTGTCGTACGGAAATATGATAACGCATTGGAAATATCTCGCGTAGATACAACAAAGCGGGGACAGGTGGGGTATACTGGATAGTTCAACTCGTCAAGGGTGTCATCCGATTCTGATCCAAAGTACAACGCTAAACGTAAACAGTACATATGCTGGCCTTGGAAGAGCAGGACAATGGGCTAGTTTGGCTCGCCTCGGCTCTACAGCTCCCAGCCGGCCCCACACCTGGTGACTCACCCTGTGCGAGAAACCGCTCAGCATGGTGCAAATAATTCCGTATTAGAGCCCACACCTTCAAGTGCCTCTCGTGCTTCTTCCAAGTCTCTCTGGGTGACGTCAAACAGAGTTGGCTCCAAGAACCGCCCGTCCGGCAGTTTGGAGTTGTGTTTCGTCGAGACGGCCGGATGGCTGTTCACCGCCTCCATGACCTTTTCAGAGAGAGTGCGAAACTCCTCGACGGAAAATCCTCCTCCGCAAAGGATTTGGAGCTCAAGTTGTGGATGTGTAGGCAGAAAAGAACTAACTATGGACAAATCGCGGGACTGAAGGTACGGACGTGATCTGCCGCTGTCTATTCCGTCGGCGAGAGCGATTCGATGGACAGACCAAGTCCCGTCGCTGCCGTCGAAAGGTGCAGACTTAACAACTTGGCACAAAATATTCGCAACATTCCATCTCTTGATCGATAGGGAACCAGCAAATTTGTAGGTGTCTAGAGAATATCTTGTGAGTACGACAATGCGGAAGGGTGACGAATGAGTTTCACCTTGAGTCGCTTCAATAACATCGAAACGTGCATATCTGATCGTGTCTTCACTTGGCAAAAACATCTGAATGAGTTTAATGACAACCCATGTCTCTGCAGGAACCACGGGCCCTGCAGTCCGACGTCGGGCGAACGAGTATCGTGTGCTCGCGGCGGCCAGAATCCAAGCAGCCACCGCCAGGTTGCTCGTGCAGTTCACCTGCTGGACCTCGCGAGCGTGATTGAATGATCCAGAGCAGATGTTGCTCGCTGCCTCGGCTGCCATTGGGGCATCGCCGGACCATGTGACGTCGTACAGACGAACGGTCTCGAGGTAGGTGATGTCTGCCAGGACACGGAGCAAGGTTCGGAACGATGGGAAGTGGCAGTGGCGCAGGTCTAGCGAGGTTATACTCCGCAGCGAGCTCTTCAGACTCGCGCTATGTGACACAAGTCCAGATGGGTGGTCGGGGGTATGCAGGACGCAGCGGCACGCCGGCAAGAGGCGAAGGAGTGCCGTCCAGACTGGACGGGAAGGAAAATCATTCATGCGGAAGGACAACGTAGCGACGTGTTCGGCAAGCCAGGCTGACAGGGGCGATCGCAGTATACCATAGAGCATACGGAAGTCTTCCTCGTCCCACAAGCTCAGCCTGGCGAAGAGACGAGGGCGAAAATGTCGGGACCAGACTCTTGAGATCAAAGAGAGCACTGATGCTGCATGTTTGTCGGCGATAATATCCAGGATGTCATATATGTAGTCGTGCAGTTCAGGAGGAAGTTGGTCCCAACGGCAGATGAACACAGAGTACGGCCCAGGATCCCAACCTGGAAGGAAATATCAGCAGCATAACCATGCAGTTTTTCAGGATACCGATTTACACCACGCCTCGTATTGCCGCTGACATTGCCGCTGCCTTACTTGCTCGTCCATAGAGATCGTCTCGGGCGTAGAATGTGGTTGCAGGCAACAAGTGATGGCTAGGTTAGGAAAGGCGCATCAGTCGATGACATCATATGGAAACTCACCCGAAACCTTTCGTTCTTCCGATCCAAAACCACGTTCTAACAAGGAGAACGTAGCGAGTGACTGAGGCTCTTGCAAGTAGAAAATTTAAAGCATACCGGATTTTTATAGCGTAAACGGCGTTACAAGCCCGCGTGGTTCGTTAATAATTTGGACTTTATGCAAGCGCTCACATGTGAGGATTGAATATTGAAGTGCTGATGCTGACCGGATACAACACTCCTGTTGGAGGGAAATATCCTACACCGGGTCCAAGTCGGAGCAGGGACAAGAGCTGAAGCTCGCTGGCTATAGCCCCAAGAATTTATCCCGAGATCACGTGGCGAACTGATCCACAAAGTCAAACGGGCGCTTACGTATCCGTCCTCCGGGCTACGCTTTCAACCGTTGTCTTGACCGCGGTCTTAGCTTGTACCGTGCGGTTGGCTGCGCTTTAAATGGTAACGATCTTGCGAGCTTGTAAACTAACGCGTCAGCGGACAAATTTCAGAGCTGTGCTTAGTCAGACACATTCCACCGGCAATGGTCCAGCGCAAACTTGGTCGCATGCCCTGGGCCTGCACTTGCAGACTCTTCTGCACGGATTCGCGTGTTAATGCACTTGCAAAGCCCTAGAATTAGTCTACACGCTGCCACCTCTTCATCCGGACTACTCCTGCCAAGCACTTCGCCTCCCATCTGTCTAGTGTCCTCCCCCCACCCCCCGCCCGATTCTTTTTGGAAGAAGTAGACAATCGCCAAAGTCCGCAGCATCGCCTCAGACATTCGTGCTGCTATTCGCACACCTTGGGTTATCTCGGCGGAGACGCGTTGACGTCCGGCCGACACGAGGTCCATGACTAAATCATCATAATAGACTTGACATCCCCCATATCTTATTACTGCTTCTAAACCCAGGTCTCCAACTTCCATGCCTCAACTCTTCCGGTGGATTTAATGATGTATTATCGACTCCTGGGGCACATTATATTCTTTCCTGACCAGCATAGAGTTGTTCGGCTCATTCCTTATACATGATCACACCCGGGAATCCTTCGATTCATGTCGAAAACTGGAAGGCTACGTCTTCAGTGAATTGAGCCGTTATATGAGGACCTTCTGCCGCGCATCAAGAAGCTCGCGGCGCCGTTCGAGTACGTCAAGATGCCCGTGACAGAGATCTTGTCCCCACGGCGGGTGCGAGCCAGTAGCACTCAACTTCTTGGGGTGCGCGGCGGCGTAAGGTGCTATCTGGATTTGGCCCCAGGCGCAGTAAAGGTGTGGCTTGCTCGTCCACAGCCCCAACATTACCGTAAACTAAATAAATGAAACCGTAGGGCTAACTAAGCGTTGTATGCATTACCATGAGCATATGCTGCCTTAGAATACACGAACTGAGCAAATAGGTTACGTTCTCGAGATAGAGACTTTGCAATATTTTTATTATTCGTCTGGAATGTGGCCACAGCTATAAATCTAAGAATACATGATACTAGATTTGACTTGGTGTATAGGTAGTTGAGAGCAAACGGCTTTAACTTTGACCCTCACAGAACATGTGCTAAGCGATGCGGAGTACACGGGGTCGTGAGTGTCGGGAAGGCGCCAATCATCTCCGCTATCAGCGCGGCCACTCCGTTTTGACCGCCGACCACATCCGCGTTTCCGATATTTACTGAATGTCGCTATATGGGCTTCTAAGCTTCAGCGACGTCTCGTTTAAGCCTTGGTCGTTTTCCTCTCAACATTTGTCGGTCAATTTTTTAGCCGCAGGCGAGCGGAGTCCCCAGGACGAGGTCAAACACAACATCTACGTCGTACAACAACACCTGGCGAGGATACGGGGTCTGGTGCGCGGCGTGCTCTCGGGAATTTGAGTATTGTAAATAAATGAGCCAAGATCAGCTCATGCGTGCACGTCGTCACGCGCCGCAGCCCGGGATGAATCCCATTCAGACCACAGGTACGCAGAAGATATGCGTGGACGATAAGCCTCTGATCCTGATTGTGCTTTACGCAAAAGCTAATGCCGAAGTCTTGAGACAAATGCTGCGCGATCTCACCGAATTCCCGGTGTAGGCCAGCGTTGGAGCACTCCTGCTTCTATATCCTGCCACGCTCATAACGCCGCCTACGGAAGAGAAGCTGCTAGGAGATAACGGAATCTATCGAAGTCGACTGCGCAGGGCATCAGCGTATACAGGAGAGCGCAGCAACGGTGGTCAATCTGTTGACCGCTGTGGACCAATCTCTGAGGAAGCCAGGGTGGTTAATTCCCGGATCGGCGCGTGAGCGCATATGTCCATTCAAGCTCGGTGCTTACGACCTTGCAGATTTATTCCACTAGTACTTTCCTACTTTATGTGGAGGACATGCTGACCTATAATTTATCGCAGGATGTTGACCTGCGGCAGACCATGTATGCCGGGCAGGGCAGGTAAGCCCAGGCATTTCACAAGTATGCGTTGGCGATCTGCAGCTAACACCGTTTTGCGCGAAGCCGCATGTTTACCTCTCGCTGCCTTACAGCTTGTATTGTAACTACCCCAGATGAAATGCAGACGCCTTAAGGTCGATCGTATGAGTACAGTACTGCCCTCGCCGCGCGATCCGGCACCGATGCATCGTCTTCTGCTCACGGTGACGGCATATCGTCCCTCCTCTGCTCGGGTGTCGTTTTCGAGGGTCGCTGTTGGGAAATTCTGCACTCTGCTCTGACGGTTACGTACACTACGGACGATCATTCCGCGTTGGGGCGGCGGCTGCAAACTGTTGCTGGCGGCTTGATGTTATCCAGACCATCGGACGTTATTGAACAAGTCAGCCTCAAAGGTGACGGCTGTTCGATCTATAGGCAGCTGCAAGACGGCATGCTTTACGGCAGCGGATCACACGCTCGCAGGCTAACTATAGGACCTGGTCCATAGCCTACAGAGATTGATATCCTGGACCCCCACTCCACATGTTCGTACGGCATTTACTGACGTTGTAAGCATGTCTGTCGTAGACTCGGATGCTCCGGCCCAGCTGGGCTTGCGAAAGCGTGTCGACTACGCGGACATACCACCTCCAGGAAATTGGGAGGGCCGCAAAGAGATTGTCTCTGAGGAGACCCTTTTCCATACTTCTTCCGTGTAGGATACATGAGCCCGCTTCAATACGTCATCCGCTACTTTGCGTGTCGACCGGCCTCTCAGCGCTACCGTGACCCATAGAGCACTCGCGACATCAGGACATCTCGGCTTTGTCGACAATCCTCTTCCGATCCACGTCCTACAACTCCTTTGCGCGAAATCATGACATATACTTTTGGGAGTACCTGGCCCCGTCCGCGCGAATATTAGCTGGTCTCGCTTAGCCGTCCCGCACGAGAGGCGGAAAATCGGCAGATAGTCACATGCTAGATGACCTATCTGTCACCTACGTCGAGCTCTCGCAGCTGCAGAGCACAATACGCATCGTTTACAAGAATAAGTAACCGAAGAGGCCGCAGGCGACGTGCAACAAGTTGTCTTAACTGGTTAACAAACCAAGAGCCTCGGAGCCTGAGCTCGTCGACATCGCAGATCGACGACCCAGAACAAACGCAGGAGGATCGCCAAACACTGTCACTGCTACCACATCAACGATTTACCGCGCTTGAGGTGGCGGCCTGATGGGCAAATGCTTACGACCGTACCAGATGAGAGTGCCCAAATTGGGTTTTTCCGACAAGTCGCCAAAATCGCCATAAATCGAGAAGAGAATTATTGGCAGTGTCAGCGGAAAGCTGGT